GAGCATTCTCAGATGGTTCCCCAAACCGGGAGGCCCGCCGCCGGTGAGGGGCAGGGCGGAGCAGACCCTGTGGGGCTTGGAGGACCTGGAGCCGGGTAAGGGAGGACACGGACAACGACAGCGTGCTCATGCTCCGACAGATGTGCCTGACCTCGCTGGCCTGCCGAGGACTAGGTCAACGAACGGTCCCGCAGGTGGGCTCCTCCTTCCTGGAGCACCCGATGGACCCAATGGAGTGCAGCAAGAGCAGCGAGGTGCTCATCGATCTGGGTCACACGGGCCTATATTCAATGGGCGAACGCACTCCACCACTCCCTCATCAAGTTTGACGAGTGCCGCCTGGGCCAGGTGGTAGTGAAGTCCACGACATTGTCAACGGACCTTCCCCTTCACCATTGGCATGATCTACGATGCAAGCTCAAGTCAGGGGGGAAAAGCTCAACTCCAGTGACCTCAGCCGGTACCCGGAGCAGATGATGCAGGGTCTCGCAGCGGCCATCCTCTGCAGAGCGGGACCCGTCCTGGAGGCGCTGAGGCCGGGGGCACGGTGCCCCAAGTGAACCCAACGACCCCCCCCGAGGCGGCAGAGGGAACCATCTCCCCACACGCCGGGGGACAACAAGCGCCAGTCCCTGAGGCTGAAGGCCGGCCAACAAGCGTTGGCGGGACTAACCTTGGGCTCACGTCCGGTCTCGGCCTCAGACAATCCTGAGGTCCGGACACCAACACAGCCGGCGGGCAGGGAGGTCGAACTACGGGGTGAAACTCTTCCCCTTCAGCCATGGCCACGCCATTGCATGGAGATCTCGGATCGGCCCACTGCCGATCACGCACGACCCAAATCTCTCCGACAAGGTTATGTAGCTCCAGATGGCCTTCAAACAGCGCCCCCTCAGGGACGGGGGTGGGAAGCCCTCACTTGGACGGCTGGCCCCGTGGACTCGGCCATTGTCCAAAGCAGCAGCGCTGGGGGCCAAGATCTGTGTCCTCACGTCGCCATGGGGGGACAAACTCCAGGAGTCGCTCTCGTTGGGGGACGGGTCACACCCCTTCCCGGAGGACCTGCTGGAAGATATCAGGGAGATCCTGGCGCCAGGGGCAGGCCGACCAGCGGAAGGCCAACCCTTCTGCACAGCCTGGCGATGAACATTCAGGACCCCGACCACCAGTTTTTTCGGGATCTGGAACAAGGGGTCCCACTCAAAAAAACGGACCCACCCCTAGTTTAGCCGGGTCTGGCCACTCCGGAGTTTCAGGCACTCCCTGGATCACTTCAGTGCTCATCCGTAGCACATTCCTGGAGGAGGTCCCCATGGGCATGGTAGATGGCCCTCTCACCGAGGTAGAGGCAGCAGCGCGCTGTGGCTGCAATATGGAGGATCTTTGCCCAGGCCCCCTAGCGGGCATCGACGAAGGGGACAAGATCCGCACCATCTACGATGGCTCGGTGGGCCAATGACACCATCAGGAACCAGACGGTGGAAAGGACGACGGCTCCGACGGTGCTGGATGGGGTACAAGCTCTTCATTGGCTACATGCAAGGGTGCCCCCGGCCCCGAGAGGGAGGTCGCTAAACCTCGCTGGCAATGGCCGGAGCCGGGCACCAGGTGGGTGCTGCTCAAGGCGGACGTCACCAAGGCCCACCGGAGAGTGAAGGTCCTCAGGAAGGACTGGCGCTTCCAGGTGGCCTCACTGGGGGAAGAATGGTGGGTGAACAAGGTAGGCACATACGGCATGGCCAGTGCCCAATCCTACTGGGGACGCCTGGCAGCCCTTCTACTCAGGGTCCTCTACGCACTTTTCCCTCAAGTGGATTGGAACTTCGTCTTTGTGGATGACTTCCTGTGGCTGCTTCGCAGCGAGGGGGCAGTGAACTTGGCGGTGGCGCTGTTGGCAACACTCCTGGCCTTGGGCACCCCGCTTAGCTGGAAGAAGACACATTTGGCGGAGGTCAACACGTGGCTGGGCTTCGTGGTCCACCCGAACATCCCGCAGGTTCTCATGGCCGCCAACAAACACATCCTGGTGATGGAGGTCTTGCAGATCATGGTGGAAGGGCAGGCGATGCACTCAAAGGACATCGAGAAGGCCCTGGGCCGCATCCAATGGGCAACTGCTGCATGTCCGCTGGCGAAGTCGATGCTTCAGCCACTGTGGGCCTGGAAAATGGCCACCACCACGGTGGGGAAACCCCCTAAGGTGGTCAGGATGCTGGCGTTCATGCTGCGGTTCCTCTTCAACACGCCCTTCGTCCAGTACTCCCCTTACTTGCCGAAGTCCTCTTGGTGGGGTTGCAGCGATGCTAGCGCCTCGGATGAAGGACTGGCATTTGTGGGAGGCTGGTGCTCCAACAAAGTGGAGCCGGAGAAGAAGGAGGTGTACTGGTTCCACGAGCAGATCCACGTGGAGGAGTACCCGTGGGCATTCAAGAATGGGGATCCCAAGCGGAGGATTGCGGCTCTGGAAATGCTGGGCACGCTCTTCCTCTGTAACATGATCCTCACGCACCAAGGCCCTCTGTCCTCCCGGGTCCGACTCCCGGTGGGCAGTGACAATCAGGGCAACGTCATGGCGATGCTCAACCTTGGATCCAAGAAGCCCTACACCGCGGCTATCCTGATGGAGCTGGTCTTCCTGCTCCACACCCATGGCTGCTCGCTGGCGGCCAACCACGTGGGCCCATGGGGCCCACCCAGCCGTAGACATCTGACAGGGGAAGATGAGTCCCTGGCACCAACACATTGCTTGGATAAAAGAGTTATCGCTTGCTTGTGTGGTGCCGTTTGGTTAGCTTACATACACTTTGGGATGAACAGAAAACTCCAACCCAACCACTTTTGAGCAAACCAAAGAGAAAGCTGCCATTTGAAGGACAAACCATTGTGGGCGGGCCTTTACCACTTTGGGGGTTCTTCTGAGGTCCTTCTTGGGTTGTTTCAAAGGGAAGCCCGAAGGGACATCAGCCATTCTCAAGGTTCCCTCGTTTCAAGATAAAGCCCAGCGGGGATGAATCTGTGACTCATGGGAAGCCGTTTGGTGTGCATTGCCGCTAGAACGCGCAGAACTTGGATAGCTGGTTTGCCCCAGACACCCCAAAGGCCCTGACCATGGAGGCCTCTTCTGAAGGCCTCTTCATATGGGGTTCCTTTGGTTTCTCGAAAACCGCAGCGATGATGCCAAGAGGGACTATGCTAGACGTTCACCCCGCAGCTGTGCTTGCAAGGTGCGTTACAAGCCTGGGCAGCAGAGGCCTTAGCCTGACAAGCCGGGAGTTGGAGCAGCCGATGTGCTGAGAGGTTGATGCCAAGGGAAGAGCTTCCGTTCCAAAGTCCTTGAGGCTTTCGAGACCAATGTCAAAACGAAGCTCTTGCCCTTTGATTTGAGCCAAATCAGAGCAACTTTGCAGGGTGTGAGCTGCCAGTGCAGTCGCAACCAGGGAGCAATGGATACATGACTTTGGTCGCAATCCCTCTCCTTCTGGCTGGCTCCCGCTGTGTTTTGCTATGTGGCCTGGAAACAACACAGCTCAGCAAGCAGGCTAAGGCAATTCTTGTTCGAGCCCAGGCTATACCACCCACACGTGGACTGGGGACACGGAGCCGATGCCTCACTTTTTCTGGCCGGCCAACGCATAGCCACGGTCCTGGTTTACCTGACAGACATCCCAGGCAGCTGTGCCCTGGCAGAATCGTCCGCGTTCCGTTCGGATCCTGGCCGCCTGACAGCATCCGGACCCCGAGTATTTTGTTGGTGGCTGCGTATGGTGGTTTCATGCATTTTTTTTTTCTTTTCTTTTTTTCTCCGGGGCGTTTGTGGCGCCGAGGCCTCGGGGGCTGCACCCACTTCCCCCATCTCAGGGACCGGGAGCCCGAAGGCCTCCGCATCGTGCCGGTGAAGGGCGCCGCCTGCGCCTGGCCCAACGTCTCCCGGGAGGGCATGCCGCTGGTCGAGACGGAGCACGCCGCCGAGCCCTTGGAGGCCGGCGTGACGGCGTGTGTTGCGCTTCCTGTCGGTGTGGAGTCGCGCGAGACACGGGTGGCAAGGTAGGTGATAGGGAATGTGCGACAGCGGCCGAGATTGTTGCTTTCTTGCCGGGCAGGTGAAGCCGCAGATGATGCAAGAGGAGGAACCGCAGAAGGTGGCCCTGAATCTTTGGGTTCGGGACCGGCCTGTGCCCTGGGTTTCATGAGAGGAAAAGAAGAGCCGCCCTGCATCGCCTCAATCAAAGGCGGTGCTGATTGCATGCGCGTAGAGCAGAAGCTCCTTGGATCTCGGGAAGGCTCAGCAAGTTTTGAGATTGCGGCCGAAGCGAGGTACTTGTCCCTTGCTGAGGTTTCGGCGTTGAAGTCCCAAAAGGGCCCTTTGGGAGAGACACACAGGATCTGGACATTTTAAGTGTTCTTGGGATTGCCAATCAAGGGGCAGCACCAAACCCCTTTTTCGAACCCCTTTCAAAGTGCTCCGAATCCTTTGTGGCGGAATCACAAAGCCAAACAGTCCAGCCATGAGAATGTTCGTTTGAAATCATTGTGACGAAACAGGACATCTTCAGCGTGCTTGTCAGCATTTGTGAAGTGCAGCCAGTGAGGATCACATCGAAGGCTTCTGAGGCCTTCTGGTGCTGTATGAGGTTTTGGCTCAATTAGGAGGCGGTGGATGTACCAAGCTTAACAGATTCCGTCTGCTCAGAAGGAAGCCACAGGAAAACACCGCCAAACTCAGGCATGTGTTAGTCGAAGCTCACAGGGATTTAGAGAAACACACAACATGTTTGTTCAGCTAAATCGAACCTCAGCCACAGTCAGCTGGATTTATACAGGCCACAAACAAACACATCGCAGTTGGGATGCCTGCCGGCTTCATGGGCACACATAGGCTCGTTTCTTGATGCTTGATCAGAGACCTTTGTGCAAGCTTGGCTCGATGATTTTCGTGTCTAAAGCTGAATGAGATGCTTGCTGTGGCCGATTCGAATCGACCGCTTCCGCGGCCAGGGCCCATGTCTGACCGCCAGAGCTGTGAGCTGGATGTGGTGGCCGGCCTGAACGAGAACTGCAGCTGCGCCGAAGTGGAGGCAGTGAGATGTGGGGTGCAAAGCTGACCTCTCTCCAAGGGTGTCCAACTTGGCAAGTTGGATGGGGCAGCAGAGCTCGCAAGACTGCGCCAGGAACTCTTCGGCAAATATGGCAAGGCACCTCGTTCGGACTGGCGAATCCTGGGAAAGGGGCTGCCAAAAACCTGGCAACTGGCATTTGCATGTCGTCAAAGGGCTAGGTGGGGAAACATGTTGAAGATTTCATGTGGTCCCGCGGCTGTTCTGGCTGAAGTTTGCAGAAACACTGACATGCTAAACACATGGTGTATTTTCGAAGGGCCAAAAGGATGGCACAGTAGCTGAGCCTGCTTCCTTGTTTGGTGCTGGAGAGCGGTTCGTTTCACACTGCGCAAACATTGTAGGACATGATTGACATGACCAGTTCTATCTTAGGACCACATGCACGACACAGACAAGCTCAAGTTGTTTTGGCAAGGATGGCCTCGTGGCCAGTGACCAGGTCCTGTTAGCAGATCTTGGCCAGGTGGACTACGTCTTTCTCCCACCTCCCCAGCTGCGGCGGCATGAGCCCAGCTTCATCAGGCCGCCCCGCTGGGCCGCTCCCTGTCAGTTGTTTGCTTTTCGGGCTGCAATCGGGGGGCTTAGGGCCATGGGGCCTGAATCTTGTAAAGAGAGCGCCCCTTGCATCAGGATGCAAGCGTAGTCCAAGTGAGCAGTCCATAGAGGGATTGTTCTGGGCAATGCTGGTGTTTCAGAGCAACATACATTAGATTCGATCCGATTCGTCAGGTTTCGATAGGACCTGCAAAGGGCTGGGGAGTAGCCGCTTGTGCAGAGATGCCATGCATTTGGAGGTTACTTACCCCTTGATCAGCCAGGTGGATTGAGTACTCAATAGCTTTCCCCTCATATACTTGTCAGGGTAACTGTCACGAATTCCTTCCATGCAAGCTTCGAGAACTAGCTCTTAACCTGCTAGGTTGGTGGATCACTTTACATTGCTCATGTTCTTTTTTGTTTTCACAGAAAGCGCACGACGGTCCATGTCTCGTGTATGTACCGTCCATGTGGGGCAGCTGCCAGGTTCTGGGATGCTGGAGGGGCGCTGGCAGTGTACAATGCCTCCAAGGAGGGCAGCGTCCGGAGCCGAGACTTCGCGGAGCTCGGTGTCGGTTTCCGCTTGCTCGCCTCGTTTGGCGAACACGGCGAACACTCTGCTTGCATATTTCCAGTTGGAAAGGCACAGCGCAAATGACGAGTGCGGCATTGTGCTTGCATGAGATCATCTTTTGGTGTCCGACGTTTGCCTGGGCTCAAGATAGCAAGCCACAGGGACAGCGGCCGGTTCGGCCCCGCTGTTGATCCGACGTCCGCATCCCTCAGCACAAGGCTGGGTCCAAGCAGCCAGTTGTCATGCAAGGCATGTCGAAAAGCAGACGAGGAAAGGACGTGATGTTGTTTGGAGATGTTCCAGCACGGGACAAGCTTATTGGTAATTTGTTGTTCATTTTGAGAGGACATGGCGGGGCCTACACAATATCCCCTATTTTGTAACAACAAATAGGGGCTACCCAATTGAACCAGCCATATTATCTGTGGCTCATATGCCAAAATAGTCTGACCAACTAGGGCCTTTGGCCCACTTGCTGTTCAGATTGCAAGCAGAGACGGAGACGCATTGACAAATCCAAACGCAAACAAAAACACTCGCGCGCAAGACCGGTACACGTCAGGCATACAGAGAGCCACAAACAAAAGCACAAGAACAGCACAGACACAGCTTAGCTCTGTTTCTACTTTTTGGGATATGGCATCCAGGTGGCCAAAGTTCCCCCATTTGCCAGTGCAGTGACCAACAGGATGCAGGGCGAAGTGCCGAAGGCTGGACGGGCACTGTGCGATTGCCTTGATTGGCTGCTCTGTCCCTCAGGAAGGTGGGAAAGAGAACACGCCGCCATGCAAGAAACGCAAGAGCGCGCCTTTGCTCAATGTCGCGGATGAATTTTAGTACCAGACACAAACAGGTCTCTCTGATTTGATGGAACAGTACAAGCTTTTTTCGCGTTTGGCTGGTTCATTTGTTCTTTTTGTTTGTATGATTCCACGGCCTCTGACGGGTTTGCAATATGAACCAGAATCATGATGATGCCGATTGAACCTGGACTTGAGTGCATGTTCATATTCGTCACTTTCACATTGTTAACTATCTTATCACTTGCGAATGTAAGCATCATGTTCTCATGGACATGCACACGGACACAATACGCTTCCAACCCGGGCGATCTGGCAGCCGGGGATTCGGTCCGGAAGCAACACGTGCGACCCAAATGCCCAACATGCTGACATTCGTTGCCCGGGTAGCGCAGCAGACAAACAATATGAACACTCGACTTCTCAACGTTGACCTGTTTTGCAATGCCACGGATCATAAGTTACAAGACGAAGTCATGGAAACTTTCTCCGTCCCATCCCTATGAGCAGTTTCTGTTCGGATTTCGCGGCAGGCCTGACTTTAAGGGAATTGTATTCTTTCTTTCTTTTTGAAATGCCAATGTGTGTTAGATATTTCAGGCATCCTGCCCGGGTCTGTGCGAGCCGTTGGGTATGCATGATGTTGCAAGTCTGTGTGGGCATCACACATGTGTGTGTGTGTGTCTCTGTTTGTGTGTGTGTTTCGCTATTTCATAGGTCCGCGTCTGGTTCCAAACCAGCAATCGAATTGCCGTGTTCGGCCTGCAAAATCTTGCCGACTGAGGGGGAGAAAGGAAAGGGATGCTCGGCAGCAACCCGATGCGATTGACATTTGCGCAGATGTGAAAACGCAGATCTTGCCGCCCTGCATGACCTTGTTGCTTGTTTTGGGTCAAATCAACATTGCGACCCGAATAAACCCCGTATTTCTCCAACCCTGTGGGAATACCATTATGGCATGTTGTTCGGTTAGAGGCCGTACGACCCAAACAATCCTCATACGTGCCACCATCCAATTTTGGCAAGCACATGTGTTCTCCCCCCCATCGAAGACTCGATGTTCACATTCGTGCTACACGGAGAAACAGAGTGTTGCGGATGCTCGGGCGTCAAGTGCAGAGTCTGGCCTTGCTGTGTGTGTCAATGCTCAGATGGGGTACTCAAATGCTGAACTGATTGGTTCCCGACTCCATTAGGAAACATGCCTGGCAAAGCGGAAAATCGACAGCTAGACAAAGTGCATGTGCCTGGAAGGGCACTAGAAATCAGACGGCCGTGTCCTCAGACAGACTATTCGTATTGCTCATATTCTTTGCTGTTGAAACCAAACTACCACCCAACCACTACCTCGAAATATAATTTGATTCTCGACCTCCAACGTTTTGACTCTTCAGTGCTGGTCCACTAGAGGGTCCCCTCATAAAAATACAAACTCGTTTGAGTTCCCGACAGCGCCAAGGAGAGAAAGGCTTCGAGACTCTGAGCCCTCGAGATTTGCAGCCGGCGCCGCCCGAGGCGCACGTAGGGACGAGCTGGAGAGACAAGAAAGGGGAGAAGGGGGAGAACTCAGATACGATTTCAAGCCTTGCCTTGGCAAAAAGCAAAAACAATTGGTTCTGCCGTTTCAGAAGGAGGGCGCCCGCAGCAGCAACTATCCAAGAGCTCTGGCTTGACAAGGCTGAGATCTTGAGGTTGATCGGCCAGTGAAGTTTTTGGGCTCCCCCCTCCCCACGTTACCAAGTTACAACTCAGAGTGAAGCAATCCAAGCCAAGCAAAGCGGGCAGTCCAAGCGATGCGCCGTGAGGACATGGCCCTGGGCACTGAGATCCCCTGGTTCTCGCTGAATGACGGGGGAGGGGGGCGGTGGGGCATCGGGCCCAGACTGCCATTGGTATTGCGTCTCTGGGATGTCTGCAAGGGGTAGCCTGCGAGTTGTTGTGTTGCTTGGGGAGATCTTCAACCATACTGCTGCGAGCTGCTGCGAGCAATCAAATCAGGCGCGGGACAGATAGCATTTTTGCACCCAACACATCTCCCTCAGATTTGCCTTGTACGGACCTCCGCTGCAACAAAAGGGTTCAGCCTCAACTCCTTGGTTCCCGGCCAGTGTTGAGTCCGTGAGGACATCGACGTTGGCAAGCGCCTGGGCGCCGGGAAGTTCGGCTCCGTCTACGTCGCGCGCTGCCGTCGGACAGGCAGGCCGCCAATAGCCGCCCATCCCAAATGCCAAACCCATTTGGAAAAGGACCGTTGCTCTGTTCCATGACAATATGTTGACACATCGCTACCAAACAAATTGTATCAAGAGTCAGTGTGAAGACAACAGGCCATTGGCCAGAAGGTTTTGGCTTCTGTTTGAGAATCGGAATACCTATCAAGGACTTCAACACTGGTTACACATTTTCCAGCTTGCCATGCAAGTGCAATAATGGTGCAATTGCACCGGCGCAACATTTGCTGACCAACAGTCTCAATATCGGCGAACCCAGTCGGCAGCACCCATGCGCAGTGCCAATGCTCGGTGTCAAATGGAAACCTTTGCAACCAATGTGAGCATGGACAAGAGTGGCCACAGAGGAGTTGTATCCAGCCATTAGCATGTCGCACTTTGACCTTTCAGGATCATGCCAGGGCTCCTTCGACCTGGCCGCAATGTCTGCTTTGCCTTTGCATGTCTATGGGGCGCTGGGCAGTGTTTCCATCATGGAGTTGCAACCGGGGAGTTCGTCCAACGTGGGTGTGTGATGGCTATCTGCCCGGATCGAAACCTGCCTGCTGGATGAAAAGGGGATGTGCTGAAGGGATCATCAACCAGCAGTGTCTTATTGTGTACTAACATGGCGACATTCTAAAGTGTTCGCTTCGGCAAGCGGAGCAGCTGAACAGGCTTTGGCCCTGCTGACTCGCCCCACGGCCGGGGCTTTGGACCCCTGCCTCAGACCCCAAAAACCTCATGATACATTCACCACCTCGAGTGATTTTTCTGTGACTGTCGGACTCGGGATAAAGCAATCCATCGGAATCCATCGGAATCCATCGAAATCAAGGCAGCATTGCAGTCTAGTGTTGCAGGCTTCATCTTTGCCCTGAAAGTGCTGGACAAGCGCCAGCTGATCAAGCATCGAGTAGAGCACCAGCTTAGGCATCGCGGGCTCGTGCTTTTGTGATTTCCTGCATCTCGCCGGGATGCATATCACAGCTTGCAGGCGCGAAATCGAGATCCAGTCCCACTGTCGCCATGTCAACATTCTGAGATTGTACACATTCTTCCACGACGAGCCGCTCTGCTGCATGCAGGGCTTGCGGGATTGTTTCAATTCCTTCGCCTACCATCCGCCATCCTTGCCATCCCTGCCATCCTTGCCATCCTTGCCATCCTTGCCGCCATGCCAGCCGTTCTTCAGCGCTTGTCACGAAGCATCACTCCCCAGGAAGCGTGTCTACCTCTGCCTAGAGATGGCTCCTGGCGGGGAGCTTTACGGCTTGCTCCAGAGCCGCGGGACCTTCTCCGAGGCGAGGGTTCGCCACAGAGCTGACGCCCAGAGAACGGGGAGACGGAAGGGGTTGGCCTGAAGCCTTTGTGCTCGTGTTGGTTTTTGCTGTGAGAGCAATGGGGCACAACTCGTTTCGGGACAATCGCTGCTTATGAAGGGCTTGCCCGCTTGACGGCATGATGTGTCAAGGGTATGTTGGTGTAGATATATATTTATATACTCATATGTATATATATATATGTGTATATATATATATACACATGCAAATATGTATATATGTATATATGTATATATGTATATATGTATATATGTATATATGTACATATGTATATGTGTATATATGTATATATGTATATATGTATATATGTATATGTATATATGTATATGTATATATGTATATATATATAGATATCGTTACACTTGGCAAGCCCCGGTGCTCACCGGGACCACCCCTTCCTTGCAGGCTCGATCCGCGTGGTACTTCAAGCAGATGGTCGAGGTACAGGGCTCCGGCTAGGAAGCCAATCTCTTGAAACTCATTTGAGCGGGCAAATTTCTACTGAGTCTAGGAGAAGATATCGTAGGTGGTGAGACACCCAATGCCTCTTGCTGGCTGCCAGGCCATCCAGTATTGCCACTCCAAGCACATCATCCATAGGGACATCAAGCCTGAGAATATCCTGATTGGCTTGAAAGACACACTGAAGATCGCGGATTTCGGGTGGGCGGTCCATGCGCCAACATCTCGGCGAGACACCTTCTGCGGCACGTTGGATTACCTGCCCCCAGAGATGGTTGTCAACAAGAAGTACCACAGTGACTTTTTTGCACTTGAGGCTTTTTGACGCTGCCAGCGCTTGTTGACACTTGCACGTTTCAGTTGTTGCTTTGTGCAGCCTTTGCAGCATCAGCACCAGGAGTTTTACTGTTTGATAGATCATGTCGCCTCCTTGACAGCAAGTCAACCAGGGGGAAGACATGCACAGCGTTCCACGTTTTGGATCAAGCGCATGAAAAAACAGCGCACTTTCTTGGAGCTAGGGCTTGGGAGAGCACTGCCAATCCTTGTTTGCTGGTGCTGCATGTTGCTGCTGTAGTATGAACTCCAAGCCTTGCTTGCGTTTAAGCTGCAATTGCCTGGCACTCGAGATGCCCATGTTGTGACCCGCTTGTTTTTGTTTTGCCTTTTGGAGCGCTCTCAAGGCCTTCAACGTGGAATATGAAGGAAGGATGTACTGTAGTATTGTAATCCTCTGTCAACACGAAGAGGCATATTTGCAGTCCCCCAAAAGTGAATGGCCACAGCAAAGGCCGAGTTGACATTTGGGGCCTCGGCGTGCTCCTCTACGAGTTCATGGTGGGCAAGCCTCCCTTTGAGGACTGCTTTTTCTCGCAGCTATTTTGGCACTTGGGGCATAATGGTGCATGATGAGGCATGATGGGGTATGTTTGGTGTTGATGGCGCATCATCGTGTATGATGGGATGCTTGGGCGTGCTTGAAGGACCAGAGTGAGAAGGGCACCTACCGCAAGATCAAGATGGGAAATCCGCAGTTTCCGCCTAGCATGACCAAGGACCGATATGTTTGCTTTGAGCTGCAAGCGGCTTCTCACGAGCTTGTGTCTTCCCAGGAAGCCAAGGACCTCATTGCCAAGCTGCTGAACAAGAGACTCGGCTGTTCTTTCCAATAGCTTGTGTCAATGCACGGTGAGTGAGGTCCAGCCTCCTTTGTGCCCTGAGTCGTGTGCTCAAGCCCTGGGCATTGTGAGGAACCCAGCGGAGCGCTTGACGCTGGACGAGGTTCTGGCACATCCCTGGATCGCGCTCAATTGCACGGGTGCCTTGGGCTTTAGGATGTGGGGTGCTTGGGGCTTTGCGATGTGGGGTGAAAAGGTGGTGATTTGAAAATTCAGATTTGGGTATGGGTCAAAATTAAACCAACAGGGGACCGCAGGTTTTAGTCCATACTTCCATTTGCCAGGGATCCATTTTGGGGTCCTATTTCTGACCCACAGCCATTTGACGGGGCATGGTCATCAACAATTGAATAGCGACTTTAGACAACGGATGCGAGGGGCTGCAAGACTTGCGTAAGAGTGGAAGTCAGCGGTCATTGATGACAAGATGTCTCACAGAATTCAGACTGGTAGCTTCTGCAATTCGTTTAGGTTTCAGCTTATTTGTTCATTTGCTACATTGACGGGCTGAAGGCACTCCATGCAAGCGTTGACTCAGGAGACAATGCGAAGCGGATGCAGGCTAGCTACGGTGGCATCTTGTGAGGCATCCGTGCGGCGGAAGATGCTGGATTTTTCTCAGCGAGGTGTTTCACCTTCCAAGTAGAGTTCAAAATGCAATGTGAATAGCTAGTGCATGGGTTTGTGCAGCTAATTCGTGAGACCTGCGCTCCGATCCATCCTGTTGTCACAGCAGTCCAGGTGCAGAGCAATTCGAGATGCATCGACTGGCTAGTTGAGCTCGGCTGGCCAACCAAAAAGTAGAACATGTCAAGTACAAGTAGGAGCTGTTTGACGCACACACACACACAGCCTGTGCTATGTTGGACGGGCATCAAGAACGAATTTTGGGCATGCGGGGAAGCCCTGGGTGCTTCCGAGGTAGCGCTACACGGACATCGACTGATTTGCGAGTCCTTGGCCCCGGATGCCTTGCGACGGGGAATGCCTCAAACAGAAAGGACCCTGGCAATGCAAAAGGGCAAGCAGCGGTTTTCTCACTTGCGGTGCCATAGTTGCAAGCTTCGTTGAACTGAATGCGAAGAGGTACCACTGCACTCGCCACGTGCGGAACTCAGACGCTTTTCTGTGAAGAGAAGTGCTAGCAGCCATAAGGGGCAAGAGCTCGCACCAAGCATCGCGCGGCTTTGTTCCAAGACTTGGTTGCAGGCTTTGCATGGCGATCGAAGTGCAACTTGCAGTGCGGGGACTGCCAACTCGCCATGGCTCAGCTCGTGCTTCACAGACAACAGGTTGCAAATATAGCGATCGCCCTTCTTTGAATCAGAATTCTGGCTCATGAAACAGACCCATTGACTACCAGCGCTGACCACTTCATTTGAGTGGGCTCCGTGCCTCAGCTTCCGACAGCACTAGCAAAAGCGGAGGTTGGTTTTGTTTCCACCGAGAAGGCCTGCATGGCCCTGAACCCAGACCACCCAGCAGCACTTGGCAGAAAGGCCTTTGTCCTCAATGTAGCTTGTAGATGTGCGCTTCCCGCCAAGCGACCTGTATGCAGCGTGAGGACGCGACTCCGGCACAAGAATTTAATGAGCGTGTGGAGGTCTTTGGTTGGGACTTGCGGTGGATGTATTCTGTTCCATTCTGGTCGTGCGATTTGGTGCGGACAATTTATCGTCAAAGTTCAGTCTGTCTGGTTTTCATGAGCTTGGACAGAGCAAGCGACATTGCCATCTCTTGTGAGGAGCAATGCCCAGTTGCGCAGTACAGGCAAGGCGGGATTCACCGCTTTCCCATTCTTGCAGTATGGGTTCAATCAGGGGGCACACTGAATATTGTCGATGGCTCATGTGATTGCATGTACTCGTCCTTGTGCCCCTCTTACATGGACCGCTGCGTGCAACACATTGCGCAATTGGAGGTATTGACTTGTACACCCATCCATCCATCTATCCATCCATCCGGCCGGCCGGCCGGCCTTCCTGCCTGCCCGCCCGCACCTATGCATGCACCCGTGCATGCAACCTTTTCTCATATACGCAAGTTCACGTTTACACACATGCTTGAAACACACACACATGTTGCTGCATAGATGTACATATATATATAGAGATATATACACATACATATATATGTATATATATGCGTGTGTCTGTGTGTATGGTGTATACATGTAGTCGGGTATATGTGTACATGATAACATGTGTGTACATGCTATATGCATATGTTCGCATGTGCAGATGTGTATATGTCAGTGTATGTGCGTGACATATATGTATTTTAAAAATCAAGCTACACAAAAGACACATATACATACACATTTGCACATGCACACATTGCGACACACATCCATACAGATATTCACACATGCACGCGCACACACGCACACAAAGGTACAAGCACACCCGCGCACATGCACAATCACACATGCCCACACACATACATATGTATGCACATGTGTACACACACGCACGCACATACAGAGATATAGAAATGCACACATCTAGAGTAATCCACAAGCTTAGGCCCATCAATACACATATTTAGACATAGGCAGACAGCTGTGCGTATGCACCTGTTGGCTTTTCTGAACCCTAGCTGTGCTGAGTAGTTTCTAGACACACTCCCCCGCAGCTGTTTATTCGAGAGGCGCTGCCATCAATGCATCCAGGTCATGCGGAGAGAGCGCCCGGTGCAGCGCATCCAGCAGCCGTGCCATGCTTGGAGTGCGTTTGGTCTCCTTTTGCGGGGCACGAGCACGACAGACATGCCAGTTTTCACCTGGAGGCCTTTGCAGACATCTTGGACTTAGCAAGACATTGGGGAGGGAGTCTCTGAGGCATTTTCTGGCTGATTTGGCTGTGTTCAGCCTTAGCTGACAAGATATTCGTTTGGGTTTGTTTGGTGACTTTGAAGCAGGACAGGCCTCCCAGTTTGATCAACATTGCCTGTTCTGGCCAAGGGTGCCGCGCTCCGCGAGCCCTTGCAGTCACAGACCCAGGGGGACAGACGCGACAGTCACGGATCACACCATTTAGAGAGCAGCCTCTAGACCTCTAAGTGGAAAGGCGATGGGAAGGCGATAGGAGTTGGCCACTTGCCGATGCTGGGGTTTATGCGTGAAATCCCGCAGCGATCGTCCGCACGAAGTGGTACTTGGCACATGCCAGACTTGGAATCATTTGTGCTTACCCTCTGGATGAGGCAGATCAGTTTGGTGGCCGCAGCCGCAGACGCAGCCTCAAGACTGTCAAGCTTTGCGCGGCCATCCCTGTTCATTAGTGGGTGGTTTGGGTTCCTGGGCAGCCTGCGGTGGAAAGAGAGAGGGGAGGCAATGCAGACATTGAGTATGCGCACTGGGCCAGCCAACCCTCACAGCCGGACAGTGAGAGTGACTCTATGAGGCACACTGCTAGCGCAGTTCCCATTCCAGTGCCGGGGGCCCAGAGCTGATTCAGTCCAGCTTTCATTTTAATTTGTCTGCTGAGATTCAATCCAAAGTTGACATGGCATCCTCAAAGATGGACACTGACCCATATTGCGTGGAACGAGGGTCCAAGTGCGCGTCTTTGCCAGGCTGGCCTTTGGCACGCCGCCTCGGACCCCGAGGCAGCCTGTCAGGGGAAGCAAAGACAGTCTCTGTAGGCTCTATGTTTTTTTTTTTTTTTTTATTGTTGGGTTTGACTTTCACAGGTTCCTTCAGTGCCCGAGGAAGTCAGATCAGTGAGGTTCACTTCATTTGAACCCGGGGGACGCCTCCCAAAAGCCAGGCTATGGCCCAGTGTCGTCTTTGGCTACGTTTCAGCACTCTGCTCTTTTAGATCACCCCAAGCGCTCAGCTTGGCAAACCCCGGTGCCCTGAAAGGGATCAGAGGTCCCAGCAGCCTTTGGGAAAATCCCATCCACGTGAGGTGCAGAAGATCCAAACGAGAGAGCAAGGCGCTTGGTTGAACAATGTTGACCGCGAGGCCAGCTCCGGCTGGGCCACTGTGGGCCAGGCTGGGCGTTGGACGGGTGGCGGGAGTGCTCCGGTACTTCATGATGCGACATGAGGTACTTCAGAGAGCTGTCCTCATCCCTTTGTTTGATACAGGATCCAATTTGAATTCTAATGATTCTGATGATTAGCCGATTGTGGATTTTATTCTCAAGTCTCGCCAGGATGTGCTTTAGGCTGGCAGCAAGGCTTGTTGGTACTTGCTGTGGAGGTTTGGCACAGCGCATGCTGCTCCTCATCTCCACACAGTAAGCGCACGCTTCCAACTCTGTATTCCGGAAAGCAGCAAATTGGACTTCATCTCCTTGAGCCTTGAACCTCAGGCAGCCTAAATGTTGCACTGGAACTCACACGCCTTTGGCCGAACCAAAACCTTTGTCCCTGACCGCATGTTGTTTGTATGAAGACGTTCGCCAGCCGCTTTGAGCTACGGTGCAAAAAAGGCAAACCTGGGCTGGGGAAGGTGTTCATTCACCCCTCTCCCCAAAGGTCTCAAAGGTTATCCCACTTGATATTCAGACAGCTAAATACACACACACACACGTCAAAAAACCATGTAAGTACGCGATTGCACAGTTCCAGAAACACACAATATATAATCACACAGGTAAAGCATCATAGGCAAGAGAGACACAGACAAGCACACAATCTCTCTCGCACAGTCTTACACGTTTCACAGTTTCACACACACACACCAGCACACAATCAAGCAAGTACACAATCACCCAGCCTCAAATTTATGCTTGTATGATGTACAAGCATGCAAACACACAAGCACACTATTAAGTCACTATTACATACACAAACTCGAGTACACACACACACACACACAAGCGCACAGGCAAGCACACACACGCGTATGCACGCACACGTCCGCAAGCGCACGCACAGCCCACAATCACCCAAACACAACCAGACACACGCACACACACACACACACATCAGAAGGATATGCCCAGTTTTGGACATCGATTTGTTCTTTGCAATGTTCGAAAAGCCAATCTCAGCTTTGTCTGCAGCATTTTCGCGCCAGGCAGATAATCATCCAGTCCCCGTGGCAGCCCCAGATTTCGGCGTTCAGGCAGCCTTCACGGCTTTTTCCTCAGGCAGCGAGTGGCGACGCCTTGCCGAGTGCTGTCCTTGGGGCTTTGCAAAACATCGGGCTTGGGCTTCGGGCTTTCCCAGAGACTTTCAAGATGGGACTGGTTTGCTGTGCGTGGAAACCAGTCGCTTGGAAGTGTTGGACGGCTTCTCCCCAGTTGGGCAACAATCTTTGGCAGAAAGCTGAATATCCTTGTGTCGGATGGCTATCTCAGCTTGCTGGCAGGTGGTGTACTCAACCAGCGAGGATAAGGCCATGCGCGCCATGGATCATGGGAAGCCTCAGAACAGCTGAGCTGCGCAGGCCCGACGCCATTCCATGCTGTGGCCTCAAACGAAGCCGATCTGCGTAACTCGACAAGCCGCGATCTCTGAGGCCGCAGGCTGCTCCGGAGCTCGAGCCTGCCGGGCCCCAGAGGCCGCAAGAGGCCTCCAGAGACCTTGCAAGTGGCCAGGTGCAGACTGCCAGGCCTGTCAAGACCGATGTGTCAGCATCTTAGTCTGCCACAGGCAGACAACGTCGGGCGATGATCATATGGACCTCAGCACCGGCATCTTTCTCCTCCTCCTCCTCCTCCTACTCCTACTCCTACTCCTACTCCTACTCCTACTCCTATTCCTACTCCTACTCCTACTCCTACTCCTACTCCTCCTTTCCGGTCGTTGTGGTTGTTGTGGTTGTTGTGGTCGTTGTCTTTGTTGCGGTCGTTATTGTTGTTGTTGTTGCCTGCTCTCGTGTCTCCTTCAAATATGTTCATTGTTGCTTTCACTCATTCTGGCATTTGTACTACGCAAGCTTATCACGCACCCTACTCTTACCATTTGGCATCCCTTCTCCTTTTCCAACTTGGACCGCAACGATTCTTGACGAGCTCTTTAGCTCTGGAACAAGAGCCAGAAAGTTGAAGTGTGATTCTCAGTTCTGTTTGTTTCGGAGCTGACGTCACACTCTAGGCCAAAAGTGGCTTCCCAGCTGCAGGAGTCTGAGGGGTTGCTGGCAGCCCATTTATGCTTGGCAGCTTTTCCAGTAGAGCTTGCGAAGATTCAAAACTTTTAGGTCAAGCCGGGCAAGCGAGCATTCCTCGGAGCTTGATCGTTGTCTCCTCCATGTAGAGTTGGAGTGGGCATGACTTGTGTCGATGCTGCTCAATTTTCCTGGCACTGCTCGTGCACGGGTGGGGCGTTTGACTTACTGCAGGAGGCACGTCAGCCCTTGCAGATGATGCCCATGCAGTCCTGAGCTCGGAAAACTAAAGTGGGGAGGTCAGCAACCTCGAAATCTGGCTTGCATGTTTGGGTCGTTTCTTGTTTTGGGTCAGCCTGGAGGAGTACGTGGTTCAGCATATTTGTTCCGAAGGGCTCGGTTGAATGATAGGGTAGAGCAGCGGCCCCGACATGGTTCCCCAACGGACGCCTTGAGACAACTCTTGCTCTTTCCTCGTGCTGTGATGAAATGCATCGTGATGGAATGCACTTATACTGTGAGCAGCATGAACGCGTGATATGACCATGAACTTCAATCACTATTATGATGTTCAAGCCAGAGTCAAGTCAAATGGCCGCAGCTTGCGTACTTGCTGGATAGAGGCCCAGCGGAGGTTTGTCTACGCTCAAGGTCGAAAGAAGAATTGAGTGCCAGCCGACCAACCCAGGAGCTTGCCTATGCCAAGCTACATCTACCATGGGATGTACCATAGCATAGACCTTGAGCAACGGAATCTGCGGTCCGTGGAAAGAGGTGGTGCCGAGATTGAAGCTTGCTCGCGCCGAGCACCGCAGGAATTGCTGGCATCGGCGCGCTGTGTGAGGACGTGCAAAGCGACTTGATACTCTTTTGGAAGAACGTGATTGGGGTTTGGGCCGGATGGGAGTTGGTTGAAGATTTGGGATTTGACCGCCAATGTTGTCATGGGCAACATCCAGCGCCCACCCAAAAGCCCACTTCGAAGATTCCAGACTCTTAGATGCCAACGCTTGCCATTTGAATTGATACAGAGGTCTCTCTGCGAATGAGCGGTCACGTAGACGTTGCCTCGTAAATCACAGGCATCAGCCCTTGATCTTGGCAGGAAGTCGAATGACTCTCGGGGATGCGGCCGCCTCAATCTGGTGCAATGGCGAGATCAGCCACGGAAATGGCGTGGATGCAAGCGGTCCCACCTCTGCTCTTGTGAGTTTGAATGCCTGTCCGCAATTCAAACTTGACCATAACATTCTATACGATGCATATATGTCTCAAGGATTCTCAAGAGGCTTTGGAGGAAATGCAGGTTGCAGCAACTCTTGGACCCATAGTTCCTAGATGTGTCTCTTGACATGTCGGCGGCAGGCAACACCAAGACTCGCGCACCCATACCAACAAGTCAACACTTTGGGCGTGCTCTTGTGCAGAGCTGGGCATCCCTGATTTTGAGCGGTGCGTGCACGTTGTTTTGTGTGCTTTCTGTGCATGCGCAGGGCGGGCACACTCGCTACCCTGACAAACCAGCCTTGAGCAAGTTGCCTACATTGTTTGATAGGGGGTCAAACTGAGGAACGCCGAGGGTATCAGCTGTTGGAGAGCTTTTTTTCGGTTTTTCCCCGCGCTGGCTGTTTGGCAGTTGCGGCCGTTTTTGCAGGGCTTTGGCGGGATATGCTGGCTTTGATGGCTCTCAAGCCAAACACAGAGAGCAACGCAAGTCAACAGCCCGCTGGTGATGCTAGGGATGTTAAAACAATGCTAGTGGTGTGGGTACAAGTGCTGGAAAACAGGATTTAGGAAGTAAATAAAGGACACATTCTCGGATTAAATCTCCACCCTCAGCGACTCAGCTTTTCCGTTGACGCGATCGGCGAGGCTTGCTGGGATCCCAGTCCTGCCACTGGTCGCCGATGGTCACATGCCGCGACTGGGCTGCATGGGCGCAAAGAGGCTCACAGGCGAGGCACGGTCAGCCAGGCGTCCCAGGCTAAGCCCCAAACAGCGCAGGTAGTGATAACTTTTGTTTCAATTTAACGTGTCTTTCGTGCTACAGAAACATATCCCAAGATGGTTCATGCCTCAGAAGTTGGTTTGTTTGATTGATCATGTGCGTTCCTGAAAGGCAGGCACTTGGCTGAAAGGGCCAGGCCGCATCACAGATCAAGATTCAGCAGGTACTTGCAAGGGAACAGGTATTTGTTCACGCGAAACCAGTACAATGGGTTCTTTCTGCACTTCTTTTAACAGCACTTATGCATTGGCACGAGCTGCGACCGTTTGAACAACATATAGCGAAGGATTAGATTGTGCAGGATATATTTGCTTCCTTTTCCGGGAACCCCTAGACCATTCTATTCTTGCAACAACATGCTGAATCTTGCAGGTCCCTTATCTCGTACTTGCACGACTCACGCATACATGTAGAATGGGAAGGTATGTTCTGGCACATCATAAATGCAAGAATCTCTGCTCCAATGAAATCCGTTGTAATTCATGCAGCCGAAGCAACCTCCAGTCGGAAGATGAGAGAAGGGAGTGCGCGCGCATGAGGACTGACCCACTCTGCGCGAGAGCACTTCACACCTCAGAGCTCGTGCCGTCAGATAAGGCCAGGACACCGCACTTTTGGATGTAGGATATTTTTTTAAAGCAAATATTGTAATAGGGGCGCAGGCAATGCCCTGGTGCGATTTCCCAGGCGAAGCGAGGTGCCAGACAGGCGGGGAAGAGCTGGGTTTGCCTCATGCCGCTCGCAAGACAAGGGGGCTGGCAAGGTCCTGCATTTCCCTTTGATATGGAGCTGAAGTGAGCTTCTTCACAGACGGCCCATCAACCGCAGCCGAGGAGTTCAATTTGAACGCAACCCCGTTTGCGTCGCACGAAGGGTGTCTTCAGCCAGGCTGCTGCAATCCACGGCGGTGAAGGCCAAGTGCTGTGCTTGTTGGCGAAGAGTATCAGACGTGCCTCTGCGGCCTTGACAACCTTGACTCTCAAGGCGACCTAAATAACCTTGATTGAACGTTGAATGGCTTAAGAGGTTTGTGGAGAACATCGGGGTGAGTTCTTCATCTCTGTGAGTTTCAAATGTGCGGCAAGCGTCCTCGGCTTCCTTGCCGTTGATCAGGTGCAACCGGTGCCTCCAGCCCCTGATACGACGCAGATTGTGGCTTGCCAAGTAGTCTTGATTCGAGTGTGTTGGGCCCACGCATCTTGGCAGGCACAAGACAATCAACAACTTTTGGGGATACAGTATCTTCGAGAACAGCCAGTGCATGTGGCACGCTATTTTTTTGGATCTTTGCATGGCGGATAGAACATGTAAATCTTCATATTCGCAGGGTTTCACTCATTGCCTCTAGACCTGTCACCAGCCGGCAGAGATGGAGCAAGGGCTTATCTTTGTTGGGGCTCAACTCCTGGCAGTTTCCTGGGAGGGCGCTATGGCGAGAATGACCCGGTCGGCCAGGACAGAATCCGCTCTGAGATGATGGAAGTATTGGAGGAGCTGCCAGTCGCATCCTTTGCCTGGGGAGCATGGCAGTGAGGCAGTGCTTGTGACAGGAGAGGGAGCGCTACCACCAGAAGCAGCTGCAGTGCATGCATGAGTTCCAAAAGGTGCCCTGTTTGAGAGCTGCGGCAGTCATGGGCATGTTCCCAGCTAGGCCCTGACATTGAACAAAAGAGCGGTTCTCAAACAAATGGTGAACTTCATGAAATGTTTGCGCCTTGAATGGTTAGCGGATCAAAGGGAAAGGTTGGACGAGTAAGCTTGTGTTGAAACAAGACAAGCAAATCGATAGCTTGTGGTCACGGAGACTTCAAAGATAGAGAGTCTTCTTCTCGATGTGAAGCATGGAGTTCAAAGCTGGCACTTTTTCGACACATGTGGCGGGATGCTGGAGCAGCCAAGCAACTACACTGCACACCCGCCAGCACCTTCCCCCTTTTAGGAGCGAGAGCGTGATCACCAGCGCCAGTTGCAGCAGATGCAGCAGTTGCACAAGGCACTACAGTTTGGGGAGAACCGGAGATTGCATTATTTGGTCAATTTTTGTTTTCAGGAAGCTACTTTGAAGGCCGCATGATTTTGAACAGGCGCCAACGATCAGAGGCCATTTTGTTTTGTATCAAATTGGGAAACACCAATAACAATGGGTTCCCCAAACAAAACACACACACACACACCCGTTTGCAATCAGGAAGAGCCTTGCATAGCATTCAATCTACAGCCTGCCAGGCAGACATGCAGCGCCTTGAGGAGAGTGGTGAGTGTGGAGATTGAAACAAACTGACAAGTGAGCAAGAGATATGTCTCTAGATTTGGGGGAACCGCCCAAAATGGGTGGTTTCCTTTCGGCCCTTTGAAATAGCTCTAACGAGAGTCCACACATGTTTGCCAAAGTGATGACCCTGGATGGTCTGGGAGTTGTGACTGCGATTTGTGGAAGCAAGAGCCAAGTGTGCTCCACAAGCTAGAAGCGCCGTTGGCTTCAGGTTGCTTTTCATGCTTTCCATTTAAGCCGAGTTGGACCGAACTAGACACCGGGAGCAGATGAAATACCTTTGGCTATGGTTTGTCTACTCCCTCCCAGGAGAAGCTCGTCCACCTTGGGCGTCAGGAGACCGGATGTGACAGGGTTTGGGACCTGAAGGGCAGTCCAATACATTTGACCATTCAAGATGGCCCGCCAGGCAATAAAGAACCGGGTGGAGGGGTCACACGGTGGGTAGTGATTTGATGATGGCGCTGTCCGGAAGTGAGAACCCACAGGCTCATCTACGCTGAGACTCTGTGAAGCCATAAGTACGAAAGGCAGTGAGCAGATCCTCTTGAATCTTACGATTGCGTTCTTTTTTTGAGATGCATGTCGAGCTCTTTTTGAATGGTGAAGTCGGTACTTCAGAATCCCATGTGCCGGCATACCACTTTTGCTTTCACAGTGAGTACTTCCAGCCGGAGAGCGGGGTAAGAGTGATTCGAAATTGAATGACTCCATCACCGACGTGGCAAAGGGATGTTCTTGGCAGCCGGTCCTCCGTCCCTCGTACAGCTCGGGAGGATCAGAGCAGCGCCATGAGACTTGGCATATACGGTGTAGCCACATGAGACTATTCCCTTTGGATTGAGATTTCAAAGAGGACCGCAAGGAAGCCGTGCTGAAGGGACCCCCAATTCGTGCCGCATTCTCACAGCCACATCCTGGTTAATGGCTGCTCACAATGGGTAAGGTAGGAATGAGTAGGAACGAGTTGCGTTGCACATCTTTGCGTGGCATTTTTTTTTTCTTCCAGTGGATGGATTTTGTTTGACAGACGGAGGGCCAGCTTTGTCTTTGCTTTTGGCGCAAGAGCCTGCGTTTCAACAAGCAAACGATAATTACATTGGCACGCGAGTCGGATGCCCTTTGGTAGAATCCACTGCCTTCTGCTATGGGAGTGCAGTGGTTCTCAGACACTGGCATGGCAACCAGGGTTGGGAGGAGAGCTAGCAATGACACTTGTAGACATGATCAGAGATGGACAGAATCAGGTACTTCCAGCAGCTTCAAGTGAGGTTCGGTCAAATTGATTATTCCCCGAAAACTAGGGGGACTCAGCAATATCTTCATGCCCTTCCCATGAACAACATGCTTTGACCGCGCAGAGAGGGGTCTCAATCAAGTGCGAGTCTGTCGAAAGCCAACAATATGGCATCATTGCTGGTTGCAAGGATCAAATAGGTTCTGACGCGTTCCTGTCTTCCGTTTGGGTTTTATGTTTATTTTTATTTTTAACAAAATTGAAACGATCTCACCAACTCAGCATCCCCTTTCAGAACTGGCATTTCTTGGCCCCAGGCACAAGACCATTGTGGAAGCTGCGCCCGCAGCTGGCTCAGTGAAATCGCGGGTGCCAGGAGCCGCGAACAATGTCACACACAGAACTAAGACAACAGATGTCTTGCTTCAGGCCGCATCCCAAGACGAGGAGGACCTGCAAGTAAGTGCATCATTCTGTATCTCGCAGTTCTTTTGTTGCCCGTGCGGAATGCGAAGCTAGTGCAGACTTGCGACAGGATACCTTGATGTATACCGAGCCGAGCATGGATCACACTCTGCGGCGGACCCAGGTTGCTGTTGTCCAGGCGTAGGATTCATGAATGAACTACATGTAGCTGAGTAAGACACACGCTGATTTCTGTTAGCATGTTTACATGCTAGCAGGAACATACATACAGATTTGTGTCTGTGCATATGTCATGCACATAGATACGTGCGTACGCATCAATGTACGTACATATATATATATATATATATATATATATATTCCACATACATATGGTGCCCCCTCTTGGATCTACCTCTGTCCTATTTCTAAGCTGAGGTGCGGACTGAAGAGGCAACAAAACAGCTGGAGTGATTAAGTAAGAAAGTTAATACGTAACCCCATCTGGAACCAATGCCCCAAAAAACGAAATAACCAAGCAAAATCCTGGAGCCAATGACCCAAAAGTAAAACAGGAAAAACTATAGTTGAACATAGCATATTTCAATCAGACTGAAACAACAATGAATACTGAAACCGAAGAATCTTTTTCGGAGGTTTTTTTCCTAGGGTGTTTTTAGTTTTTGGCTTTCCTTTCAAGTATGTTCTTTTTTTGCAATATCCCTCCCACACATGCCACAAAGTCAACAGTTCGTTCCCAAACAGCGACGCATTAACTGGAGGTTTAAAAATTGGACGCTGGCTCCGGAGTCGTGTGTTCCACTTGTCTTCTTGTCTCCTAGTCTCTGCGGTCAGATGCCTCCTGCTGTCTCCCTGTGTCCCCCAGTCTTGACTGGTCATGATGATGCCGCTTGCGTCAGTATGGTGTCGTCTTCCTTGGCATCGCACAGTCTGCGTCATTGTGACGCTGTTGTAGTTGTGATGCTTGTGCGTCGTCGTGGCAAGCTCGCGTCCTCCTGATGCTGTCTACGTCATCATCGGCATGATCATGGTGCTCCCTGCCTCATTGCACGGCGCTGCCGGCGTCGCCGCGACGCGATCATCATCATCATCATCATCATCATCATCATCTTCTTCTTCATCATCATCGTGTGCTGCCGGAATCAGTGTGATGCATTTGGCGACATCATGTTGCTGCCTGCGTCATTCAGGTGCTGCGCGCATCATCAATTTGCTGCCGGTGTCCTTACGATCCATTCGGCGTCATCTTGCTGCTGCATTTCGGCGTCATCATGTTGCTGCCTGCGCTATTATTTGGTGCCGCGTGCATCATCATGATGCTGCCGACATCATTGCGACATCATCATGCTGCTGCTTGCATCAGTGAGACCAGAACCATGTATGCGTGGGGATAGGCATCAAAAAAGCTTATTAGGGATCAAACAAGCTTATTAGGGATCAACAAAAACATCTTCTCATTCCTATGGGGAGAGAAGGAAGGAAGGAAGGAAGGAAGGAAGGAAGGAAGGAAGGAAGGAAGGAAGGAAGGAAGGAAGGAAGGAAGGAAGGAAGGAAGGAAGGAAGGAAGGAAGGAAGGAAGGAAGGAAGGAAGGAAGGAAGGAAGGAAGGAAGGAAGGAAGGAAGGAAGGAAGGAAGGAAGGAAGGAAGGAAGGAAGGAAGGAAGGAAGGAAGGGAAGGAAGGAAGGAAGGAAGGAAGGAAGGAAGGAAGGAAGGAAGGAAGGAAGGAAGGAAGGAAGGAAGGAAGGAAAGAAGACAGCAAGTAAAGGAAGGATATGAAACATTTTGAGAGGTTTTCAACATCGATTTCGGGAATCGGCGGATGCACCCTTTGTTGAATCACCACTTCTTTGAAAATCATCGGGGGGCTTGCGCCCAACCCAACCCCCCGCTCATTTGTAGACTGTTTATAGAGATTAGCGCACCCTTTGTTGAATCATCAGTTCTTCGAACATCATGGGGGGCTGCCGCCCCCAACCCCCCGCTGATTTTTGGAATGTTTACAGAGATTCACGCACCCTTTGTTGAATCATCGCTTCTTCGAACATCATAGGGGAGGCTGCTGCCCCCCCCCCCCCCAAACCCCCTGCTGATTTGTAGACTGTTTAAAGAGATTAACGCACACTTTATTGAATCATCACTTCTTCGAACATCATAGGGGAGGCTGCCGCCCCCCCGCCCCCCCCAAACCCCATTTGTAGACTGTTTATTGTAAACGCTTCGCGTTGCTCGTTTTGGCTGGCTTTGAGGTATATACCGTGCTTCAGTTTGCCTTGAAGTGATGTTGTTAAAGTGAGTGAGTCGGCGCTGGTTTCCAAGCTAGCGGGTGGGCGCATGTCCGCACGATTCCACCTGGCTTCAAGGGCCAGACCAAGAGCCGCAGAGAGCTACAGAATGGTGGGCCAAATTTCTAGGGTGTTGAACGGCTTTTTTTGGGGATTTTGCCGGTTTCTAGGCAGATTTGACGGGAGTTGGGCCGGTTTTCAGAGGGGATTTGACAGGTTTCTAGAAGCGAGTTCGGCTGGTTTCTACGGTTTTTAGGGGTTAATTGGCACTCGACCAGTTTTAAACGGGAATTTGGCCGGTTTCTAGGGGGATTTGACTGGAGTGGTGGAGGGGAGGAAGTTGACCGGAGCTAGATGGGAAGTTGGCCGGCTTCCATCGGCTTCTTGAAGGGGATTTGACTTGCTCGCTTTCTTGCCTTCTTGCCTTCTTGCTTTGTTGCTTTCTTGCTTTCTTGCTTTCTTGCTTTCTTGCTTTCTTGCTTTCTTGCTTTCTTGCTTTCTTTCTTTCTTTCTTTCTTTTCTTTTCTTTTCTTTCTTTCTTTCTTTCTTTCTTTCTTGCTTTCTTTCTTTCTTTCTTTTTTTTTTTTTTTCTCCCTCTCTCTCTTTCTTTCTCTCTCCCTCGCTCTCTCTCTCTCTTTCTCTCTCTCTCTCTCTCTCTCTCGCTCTCTCTCTCTCTCTCTCTTTTTCTCTCTTTTTCTCTCTTTTTTTCCTTTTTCTGCGTTCATCGCTTGCGAAAGTGCTGCGCCTGCCACAAACTCTGCACCGTACCTTGCGAGAGTGCTGCGCCTGCCGGCCTGACCTTGCGAAGGTGCTGCGCCTGCCACGGAATCTGTACCGTAACTTGCGAAAGCGCTTTGCCTGCCGCGATCTGTACCGTGCCTTGCGAAAGTGCTGCACCTGCCGCGAAATCTGTGCCTGACCTTGCGAAAGCGCTGCGCCTGTCACGAACTGTGTACCTGACCGCCTGCCGCGAAATCTGTACCGTACCTTGCGAAAGTGCTGCGCCTGCCGCGAAATCTGTACCTGACCTTGAATGAGGACTTTTTTGATCCTTGACAAGTTTCTTTTGATCCTCTGTGTTTTCATTTTTAATAGGACACCTAGGAGAAGAGTTTTTTGACCCCAAATAAGTTTGTTTTGATCTTCAGATTTTGTGTAATACCAAGAAAGCTTTTCTGTTGACCCATGACCCGTGTGCGCGCTCCTCAGCCAGCTGAGTTCGAGTTGGCAGCCAGACTTGTGCATTCCGCCACCGTATTGAGCCCTTTACAAGAAGAGGTTGCAAGGTGGGTGTGCTATTGTCCTTTGTGCTTTTGCTCCCTTGGATTGGACAACTGGGCGTGTCTTGAAACAGTGGACCCCCAATCGCGGTTTCCCAAAACCCAAGAAAGGGGTCATGATGGCGAGCTCGCTTAAATTAAATCTCTAAAACGGCAGTCGGCTGGATTTGTCCTTTGCTCGTGGAAACTGTCGGGAAACCGCCGATTTTTCTTCAAGGGGAATTTGCATGAGACGGCCAGATAATTCAAGCGGGCCGCGAAAATACTCTTCTTCTTGGTCTGCCCCCGAAAAGGCGAACAACTTGTGGGACTGTCTCTTTCGCGGTCGCCGACAAGGGGTTGGTTGAACGGGGTGCCACAGGGCAAAGGGAAAGCCGCAATATTGGGGTAGCTGCGGTATCTAGCTGTCACGTTGACCTGCAGCTACACGCGAGAGAGAGAGAAAGAGAGAGAGTTAGTGGTCCACCCTGAACTGTCGCCTCCAGCAACGCTACCACGCGAAGCCGCTAGGCTCCTTGTGCTGGGCATGACTCGCTACAAGCCTTGTGCAACTTTGAAGCTGCTCTTGCCCCCCCCCCCTCGTATGGCTCCATTGCAATGGTTTAGATTGCTAACCCTTGCTGGGAAACGAAACGTGATGTTCAGAAGGTCAAAAAAATAATAGGTTGCGCTAAGGAGCTGCAGGTCAATAAGCGTCCTTACAAAGCTCCTCTCAAGGCTCCTTACAAGGCTCCATATAAAGAGAATCAAAAATAAGGTTACTCTTCTGTTTTGAACGAGGGGTCAAAAAGGTATTCCTTCCAAAAATATGGATTTAGTTGTCGAACAATTGAATCAGATTTCAACGGGAAAAGAGTTCAATCTGAAATGCTATTTGCAAATTGAACATGAATAGGGACTCCTTTCCAAATTGGTTCTCAAATAAAATTTGAGAAACTGGGCTGAGTTTTCGCAGGAGGCATGCATTTGCACTTGGAGATTTGCACTTGGAGATGTGACAAAGCACGGACAGAGGTGACACTGTCTCGTTCATCCAAAATGGCTTTCAAACAGCAAAACGGTAGATCCGTCCAGGGGGGGCGGGGTATAGTATTTATGTATCTATCTATCTATCTAGCTATATGTATATATACATATATATAAGAATACTACTAATAATAATACTACTAATACCCACAGCCCCCGTGGTTTGCCGGCACCCCCTAATCCACCCTTGTCCAGCACGTGGTTCAAGCATGGCACCCTTTACTGCTCAAGTAGCAGAGCTCGTGCAGCCATACCTTGACAAGTGGTGACCTGCGTTCTCTTCAGAACGTGGGCCCGTTGTACCACGAGCGCATGGGTAGCAGGCAGGTCTTGGGTTCTTTAGGGTTTTGGTTTAGGGTTTTTGGGGTTTAGGTTTAAGGGTTTTAGGGTGAAGGATTCTGCAAGCAGGTTTGGGCTTTTTAGGGTTTAGGCTTAGGGTTTTAGGGTTTAGGCTTAGGGTTTCAGGGTTTAGGTTTAGGGTTTTTAGGGTTTAAGTTTCTGGTTTTTAGGGTTGAGGTTTAGGGTTTTTAGGGTTTAGATTTATGGGTTTTAGGGTTTAGGTTTCGGGTTTTTGTGTCGGGGCGTTGGTTCGTGGCGCAGGCAAACCTCAGGGGCTGGCCGTACTAATAGTATTAACAAAAATAATAATAAACATAGTATTATAAATAAAAATAGTAAGACTAGCAATACTAATACTAACAATAATAAGTAATAAATAGTAATCATAGTAATAATAGTAATAATAACATTACATACATACATACATACACACATACATACGTACATACATACATACATACATACATACATACATACATACATACATTATCATACATACATACATACATACATACATACATACATTCATACATACAGACATACATACATACATACATACCTACATACCTACATACATACATACATACATACATAATCATACATAATCATACATAATCATACATACATACATAATCATACATACATTATCATACATACATTATCATACATACATACATACATACATACATACATACATACATACATACATACATACATAATCGTACATACATACATACATACATAATCATACATAATCATACATACATTATCATACATACATACATACATTATCATACATACATTATCATACATACATACATACATACATACATACATACATTCATACATACAGACATACATACATACATACATACATACATAATCACACATACATACATACATAATCACACATACATACATACATAATCATACATACATCATCATACATACATACATACATAATCATACATACATACATACATACATACATACATACATACATACATACATACATACATACATACATACATACATAATCATACATAATCATACATAATCATACATAATCATACATACATACATACATACATACATACATACATACATACATACATACCCACCTACCCTACCCTACCCTACCCGACCCGACCCGACCCGACCCGACCCGACCCGACCCGACCCGACCCGACCCGACCCTACCCTACCCTACTCTACCCTACCCTACCCTACCCTACCCTACCCTACCCTACCCTACCCTACCCTACCCTACCGTACCGTACCGTACCGTACCGTACCGTACCGTACCGTACCGTACCGTACCGTACATGCATACATGCATGCATACATACATACATACACATTGTTCCTTGCCAGACCGCGTCACATGCTTTTGGAGTGGTAGCCAATGCCTGGGACTTAGGAAACAATGTTCGCTTTGAGCCTCAGGTCGCCGATCACGGTGCGGGAAGTCGACTGTTCGCCAGGACCACAGATCCCAGTGAGTGCGTGTGTCTTTGTTTGCTTCTCGCGCGTTGGAAACATCCACCATATCTTCCAACATTTGCTGTCACAGGCGTGCTGTACAATTTTCTACTTTTGTAGAGTGCTAGTTTGTGTACAGATTGGTGTTTGGGCTTCTATTCTAGGTCTCGAAATTTGGAAGCTGCTCAGTGACGAAGAAAGCATGGACACCCGTGGGTGCGTTGCAGTTTTGCAACCAGCCAAGGAGCTTGTTTGGGGAAAAGACAACTAGAATGCAAGAAAGTAAGAAGGTCCAGATTCCTGCTGGCTGTGCGTGGCTGTGCATGGCTTGGGCTTGCCTGGGCATGCCTGAGCCTGGCGCATGGCTGGGTAGGACCAAGCACGTGCATTGACTGCTGGAATGCCGTGCTTTCCGCTTCTCCGAGAGTCGACGGCATCGTTCAAGGCCTGCAGCAGCCAGCCCACTCTTGAGCGAGGCGATTGCTTAGCTTTAAGGAATCAGCAAGGCAGACTTGGTTCTTGAGGGATAGCTAGAGCCTGACTCTGTTGGGACCATCTCACTCAGTAGACCACCTGAATCCTTGAGTTCTGTTCCAATTCAATGCATGGTGCAGTGCATCAGGACGCATCTCAGCTTTGCTTCCAAACTGCCTCAGGGCAGCTTCCCATCGTCGGCAGTGCTGGGGCCAGGGCCTGGGGAACGCCCAGTGACTCGAGGAAGGTGTTTTTTGCTTTTTGGTTTCCTTTGACAGCACCATCTCAAGATGTTTTGTCATTTGTTCCGAGAATGGACGGGAAGCCGGGGAAAGTTTGCAAATTGAGAATCAACTTGGACTTTTGCGCTTTGGGCTGGCTGACAACTGTGGAGACTTAGGTCGGAGGCCTCTCCCCTGGCACGGAGCATCAAGTTGCTACCTCCATTGCCTCCACAGTATCCGCAGGCGTGGGATGTCAGACTTGCGTTTGCTGACGTGCCACCGGCCAGGTGCCAATGTTGCCCAAGAGGCTCCAGTGAGCTGGGAGACAGCTTCGTGGCCGTCCCGTTTGTTGCAACGCGCCACTGTGCTTAGCAACTCCGCGCCAAGTGGGAAAGTCTTCCAGCTCACTGTACGGGTGCTGGGGAAAAAAGAGAGCCAGTGCCCTTTCATCTAGATCATTTTCAATTAGCCTATTTTCCGGCGATCATTTTCAATTAGCCTATTTTCCGGCGGCAGATCGGCTGACGGCTGGTGCATCTAGACGCGGTGCGTCCGCGCTGAAAAAATAATGGCAGTTTGCAACGGGCACTCCCCACGAGCTTCAGTCATGTCCAACCAAAGCACTGCCATCTTTAGAGGAGGAGTATGGCCATTCCCGATTGAACGGGTTAGGTGGCTGGATGCGCTGCACAGTTTTGCTCTGTGTTGAGGCGAGGAGTGTGGTAGATGGCAGTGGAGGCAGCAGCAGCAGCCGACCTCTCGCGAGATCCCAAGCCTAGAAGCTGAGATGGCGGTCCTCTGGTGTGCCTGCCGGAAGAGCAGGTTGCCAGGTTTAGTCACCCGTTATATACGTGGACTGACCGCCTGAGGACCCTCCGCCGCCCGTGCAGCTTCCCAGGAATGCCGGAGCCTCAGCGGAAATTGCCTGCCTGGGCATGTCCAATCGGAAGTCTGGAAGGCTCCGTGGCCACCCGCAGTGCCTCCAACTGCAGAGGCCAATGCCTTGTTTGCATCTTACGTGATGGGGCTGCCAGGGCCAGGGCTTGACATGGTTTGAGCAGATGCCATCGACCATCAGAGCATAGAGCCCCAAGTTGTTGCCATTTGCCGCACCCATTGCAGGTTGACGAGTTTGTCAGGCGCGCTTTCGTTGTGCGCAGGCGCCACTCAAGTTGCATTTGCCCTAAGGAGACACAGCCTTGGTCCAAGAGCCAACGATGAACTAAGGCCTGGCGTGTGAGGTATGCGTCTCAACTCGGATGGCTGTGGCAGGACGGTGTCCACCGAGAACCAGCTCGCCCTCATCCGCAAGCGCTATACGCCGTGCACGGCTGAGATGCTGAGCAAACCAGAGCTAGCCCTTGGCCTCCTTCCCTGTACAGGGGCAATAGTTGAGCATCGTTTGTCCCTGAGCCTTCGAAGCATTTTTAAGAGAGGCGCAGAGCTGAGGGACATCCGGTCGATGGATGCGGTGATCATCAAGCAATGCAGGCGCTGGCCGTTGCCTCTTGCGGCCCAACTGTATATCAGTGGAACAGCTGTGGACTTGAGCGCTTGGCCAGCAGTCCTGAGGTAAACATAAACCATCAGCCATTTTTGCGTTTTTTTTTCTGGCTGACCTGGTACCGCGCTTCAGCCTAAAGCGGTCCCACCCTTTGGGATCCTGTTGTCACTCCGTGCAATGGAGTCCTCATTTTGTCATCCCCGCAGTGTGCTCTCTTGAATCAAAGGCTCTGATTGCATGTGCGCGGAGACAACAAACACAGCGGCGACCGCCGCGCCGCGCCGCGCTCCGCGCTTCGAAGCCGCGGCTTCGCGCGCGCGTTCGCCGCATGGCTCGCACGGCCTGGGGCTCAGGGCCTCGGTCACGGCGAGGGCGAGGCCGCCGGCCTTGAGGTCCGCTTGGCCTCGGTGGCTTCCCAGGAGTTTGGAGGACGGGGTGGGAAGCCAGGGTCAAGAGACCCGATCGCAGGTATCGCAGGTCAAGCATGTTTGAACCTTTTGGGAATGAAAACAAGGCGAGACAGTTCTAAGGGCATCACAATTTGGCTTGCTCGTTTCGGCGCATCCGCACAAACTTGAGACAATTCCAGCAGCACGTTTATGGCTGAAGATGGCCAGCTCGTCTTTGACAAGCTGGCCAACCAACCCTTGCTTTGGTCTCACAGAGCAGATCTCTTGCAGATGGTTGTCCTTGTGGCTTCCAGGTTTCCAGTCCGAAGAAGCGCAACAAAGAACCAAGGGAATGCTCTAGATGTCCGGCAATCTTCTAAATGCTAAAATCGGGTAATGAGCAAACCACGGAGCATTTGATTTGTCGAGGCGCTGACATCTAGCTTCAGCAGGGAGCCCTGAGCGAGTTTGGCGACTGGCTTGGTTGACACTCAAATGGGACACCAGTATCTTGTTTTGCAGATCCTGACAGATGTGCTGCGAGAGGCAGTAAGCTCATGTTCTGCTCCACGAGCATATCATTCTAAGCGGTTTGAAAGCTCTTTCACTCACCTGGGCTCTTGGGTAACTGAGCGGACCGCCTTCCTAAAAAAATATCTACTGGTTCAGTGGCCCTTCAGGCATGAATGGTCTACTTGTGATACAAGGTGCATGACTCATATAGAAAGGCTTGTCTCAACAACGCATGGGGCGCAACATGTCGCCTGCCTATAGCCTATAGCCTTGCGCCCGCAGCGGATGCTCAGGTTTTTGGATTGGACAATTCTTTAGGGACAACGGTTTATTTCTTTGATGTCCGGGTCCGTCCAAGCCAGACCAGACACCATGCCCTTGCCATTTATTGCTACAGGGGGAAGCGCAGAAACTGGAGCAGGTTCGAGGACTTTCACACGACGCTTCCGTAACTTGGACTCAGCGTTTCACCGCATCGGTCCCTGCCATGGAGGGAGACCCCATGGCGGACGTGCTGCTTTCAAAGGCAGCGCGCAGTGGCCGAACTGGCCAACGACCCTTCGGTACCCTGGGTGACAAGATCGAGGCGCGACCCTGTGAAGATGCTCAGAAACCTTTACTGGCCGCTGGTGCTTTTGCTTGTCCTTGTGGAATCTGTTCTCTTGTAGGGTTTTTTGCTGCTGGAAACAAACATGTGCATCGTTTTAACCCCGCAAGAAGCGGCCTTTTTCCAGATGTACAGCACGCCGTCTGAAATCAAATGAGCCGAGCAGGGCAGTTTAGAGTGATGCCAAGCCATACTGCCGTCATTGTTGAGGTGGACAGATACCCAGAGCAGTGGCAGGAGAAGGTCAGCGCTGTGAAGGCGGAACACTTGTGTGGTGCCGGCCGAAAGACTTGAAGAAAGATGCATGCGACCTAATTGAGGAAGTTACATGACAAGTTATGACAAGCGAGCATTTGATTTGCCAGGAGCAGCTGACGAGAATGGTGTCAAGACATGTGCTGGACTGCGGCCATGAAGGGTTAGGCTTGCTGTGCTTGATATTCTATGAACTCTTCATATTCAAGCGATTGAGATGCACTGGCCTGTTGCTTGCTTGCTGGCTGCACAGCACTTCTGCAAGTGTTGCTGGTCAAGTCTGATGCCGTTGGATACTGCTCCCGCGACTTCAAATGGGCTTGCTGTTTACTCATGATTAGAGAATATACCTGGTTCGTCACGGGCTGACACAGCACAGACTGATGCGAGCGGCGATCA